CCACCCTTGGGGGGGACACATGTGCATCACGGGTGGGCAAAAACAGCCCCTGCCTCTGTCCTGCACATGGTTTGGTAGCCATGGCCCTTCTGCAGTTGCTGTCCTCTCTTCCTCTCTTCTTTGAAATGCAGAAATTCCACTCCGAAGCCTTTGTTTCACACAGCTGAACAAGATCTAACGGGATGAGCAAGAACCACCCAGCGTGCCTCTGGAGCTGGCTGGAAAGTCTGTGCACGTGTCAGAAAGCAGCATGACGAGGCAGAGGGTAAAGCACAGTTGCCAGAATTCTCCTCCATCGCACTCAGAAGAAAAGGGGCACACACAAACAGGGACCGCTGGGCAATCAGGGCCCAACAAAGCCTCTCGTGCTCAGCGGCCAGAGGCCACCGCTGCTTGGTCCAGACTCACTGGACCACGGGAATGAGAACAGCTCACAGGTGCAGGCCACCCCTTCAGCTGACAAAAAGCATCGCCAGGGCCAGAGACACCCCCGATACCATTAACAAAAAGAATCGCTTGATTTCCGTCTGTATCTGTGATATCTAACGAGATGAGAGTCCAGTTTTATTAAGGTAGCGAAACACATTTTACAGATAAGTTACTCGGAGAACACTTTGTCTAAGCCAGCAAGTGCCGTTATAGCCAGAGAAGGAAACCGGTAAGAACGGCCCCTGAAAGGACTCGAGGCATCAAGCAGCCAGTTATGGAAGTCCAAGCCAGCTTTCACGCTACCAAGAGATCAGTTCAGACACGATCCAAACCTTGCACCTGTTTCCAAGAGAAGATGCAGCTCCCTCTTCTTCAGGTTCCTCTCCTCGCCTACAAAACCCACCCCTCAGCCACGTACACAATCTTCCCCTCAGCACTGGCAACGCAAAGCAGAAACGATTGGCCCCGTATCAGTCAAACACTCTGCGACAGCAACCCTTGAAGGGAACCAAAGCTAGGGTGACTTCCCCACCAAGTCTCAACTCCACGCTCTGTAGTGCGACTCTGAAACAAAACGTTCCCACAATGCAAAGCAAGTGTAAAATGCTAAAAAGATACACACGCAGGGAGCAATCCCAAAGGATCAGTGTCAGAAAATAGCTGGCAGCAAGAGACAGGAAAAAACCTGAAGGCCTAACGGAGGAGAGTGGCCAACGCCGCTCATTTCGTAGGATGGTGTTGACGTAGAACTGCTCCAGGAAGGTTTGCGTTATTCAAGCTTTTCATCGCCTTCCTCCACGTCTTTCAGACTCAGCACTTCCAGTGTTCCTTTCCCTTTTGTCTCCCTCCGCATCAGCTCATCCATCTCTCTGAAGCAGCCCGGGTCAATCAGGCACACCTGGAACAGGGCACATTTCATCCCTCAGGCAAGAACATTGCATTTTTATTAGCCCCCACCACCAGTAGTGGCAGTGTCAGGTTAGCGATTGGACTCGATGATCTTAAAGGTCTTTCCCAACCTCAATGATGCTATGATTCCACGATTCTAAGGTCCAACACCGATTCTCATTTTAAAAAGTTACTGTTTAGTTACTAGGCAGGACTTTGCAGACTTGGTAAGCCATTTCTACCGAGGAGCCTTTCCCCAGAGGCTCTGCAGTTCCATTCACCCACGCTGCACAGGTCTTCTCAGCATTGGGATTGCTCCATTCTAATCTGTTCTCAGCCAGATTTTTACCAATACCAAATTTTGCTTTACGGCAGACTGTTTTGTAAAAAACTCATTAACCACTGCCAAAACACAGCCCTGACCCACCAAACACTGAACACTAACATTCCACACTTCCCGAGAAACTTCTCAGTGTTGCAGCAGAGTCACTGCTCAGGGAAATTACGCTGTGCTTCTCCTCAGCTTGGAGCAGCCATCTCTGTGCAACAAAGGCTACTGACAAGCCTTCATCACTAAAAACTACACCTCTCCCTTTGAACCTCTGGTAAACTTGCAGCTTCTCTAAACCACTCCCCTGTATTAATTCATCCTCTAGGAACCCGTACAGGTGGAGCCAAATCACGTACGAAACCCACGGACTGCTTTATCGCTTACAATTTCCAGCTGCTCCTGGAACTCTTCACCCTCTATAACTTTCATCAGGGGCTTCAGCTTCTCTTCCAGTTTCTTCCCCTCCTTGGCTGGAAGAAGAACTCGCAGCCTCATGCCAGCACCTTCACAGAATCACAGAATCACAGAATGGTAGGGGTTGGAAGGGACCTCTGTGGGTCATCTAGTCCAACCCTCCTGCAAAGCCTGATCTGCTCCCTCACTTAAAATAAACCATCAGGCTTTTATTTCTGCTCCAGGCACAGCGCTGCTGCTGCTGCAGGCAGTTTCTTTCCCCCCCCTTCCCGCAACGGTCAGAAAACAAACGGCACGACTTTCAGAGGCCGCCTGGGTCCAGCACTCGACTGCCAGCCGGCTGAGCGCTCCTTCGGCGGGCTTGAGGCCCTGGGGCGGTGCGGATCCCTCGCTGACTGCTCACACAGAAACGACACTTGCAGACACCACCCACCTCTCCGCAGAAGCTGACTGTGCAAGAGAACTCGCCTGCTGCTTCGTGCTCTTGTGCAGTTTGACCGAGTAGTGAATATCCCTCATGGCTCTTTCTAGAAGGATCACGGTGTACGGCCGCTTGGTTTCAGGATTCACACATTTCTCAGCCACAATGGTGGCGATGTCTCTAAACATCTGCTCCAGCTGTGTCTGTCGTTCCTTGTCCGATACCTGCAGCTCCCCTTTGGATAAAATCTGCAGAGCCAAAATAAAGAAACCAGTTCATAAACAGCTCCCATCTGACTACAGAGTGAAAACTCTAGTCGCTCTGTTAAATTTAACAGCTGCCTGAATGGTCTGGTTCGACATGAAGTGCAGAAAAAGAACCCTATGAACAATACACATCATTACGACAGACAACACCGAGAAGACTTCAGACAAAACACCCACCACAGAAACTCTGCGCTGCAGAATCACAGAATCATAGGTTGGAAAAGACTTCTCAGATCATCGAGTCCAACCATCCACCCAACACCCCCATGCCTGCTAAACCATGTCCTGAAGTGCTGCATCTACATGCTTTGTGAACCCCTCCAGGGGTGGGGACTCCCCCACTGCCCTGGGCAGCCTGGGCCACGGCTTCACAACTCCTGCAGTGAAGAAATTTTTCCTGGTATCCAGTCTAAACCTCCCCTGACACAACCTGAGGCCGTTGCCCCTCGTCCTGTCGCTGGTTACCTGGGAGGAGAGACCAACCCCCACCGCACCACAAACTCCTGTCAGGCAGCTGTGGAGAGCGAGAAGGTCTCCCCTCAGCCTCCTCTTCTCCAGGCTGAACAGCCCCAGCTCCCTCAGCCGCTCCTCGGAAGACTTCTTCTCCAGACCCTTCCCCAGCCTCGCTGCCCTTCTCTGGACGTGCTCCAGCACAGAATCACAGAATCCCAGCGTGGTCGGGGTTGGCAGGGACCCCTGGGGATCCCCCACCCAACCCCCTGCCCAAGCAGGGTCACCCAGAGCAGGGGGCACAGCACCGCGGCCAGGCGGGGCTGGAATATCTCCAGAGAAGGAGACTCCACAGCCTCCCTGGGCAGCCTGGGCCAGGGCTCCGGCACCCTCAGAGGGAAGAAGTTCTTCCTCGGGTTCAGCTGGAGCTTCCTCTGCTTCAGTTTGTGCCCATTGCCCCTTGTCCTGTCACTGGGCACCACTGAAAAGAGCTTGGCCCCCCAGATTAACCACGAACTGGTTTGCTCTGTCAGAGGTAACACCCAATGCTCTGTACCGTCAGACTCCAGGAGAGCCCAAATCCCTTTGCAACACATCCTTTCTCCGTGCCCGAGCAGCGGGTGTAGCGGCTTCCTTACACCGGCCAGGCTGCCGTTGGCCTTCTTGGCCACCCGGCCACACTGCTGGCTCCTGTTCAGCCGGCTGTGGACCAGCACCCCCAGGTCCTTTTCCGCCGGGCAGCTTTCCAGCCACTCCGCCCCAAGCCTGCAGTGTTGCATGGGGTTGTTGTGACCAAAGTGCAGGACCTGGCACTTGGCCTTGCTGTACCTCATACAGTTGGCCTCAGCCCATCGATCCAGGCTGTCCAGATCCCTCTGCAGAGCCTTCCACCCTCGAGCAGATCGACAGTCCCGCCCTGCTTGGTGTCATCTGCAAACTCACTAAGGGAGCACTCAATCCCCTCACCCAGATCATTGATAAAGATGTTACACAAGGCCGGCCCCAACACTGAGCCCTGGAGAACATCACTTGTGACCGGCCGCCAGACGGATTTATCTCTGTTCACCACCACTCTCTGCGCTCGGCCATCCCGCCGGTTCTTCACCCAGCGCAGAGTGCACCCATCCAAACCACGGGCAGCCAGCTTCTCCAGGAGGATGCTGTGGGAGACAGTGTCAACGGCCTTACTTTAGTCCAGGTAGATGACGTCCACAGCATTTCCTTCATCCACAGGGTGGCTCACCTGGTCATAGAAGGAGATCAGGCTGGGCAAGCAAGACCTGCCCTTCATGAACCCATGCTGGCTGGGCCTGATCCCTTGGTTGTCCTTCACATACCCGATGAGCACACTCAGGATGAATTGCTCCATAATCTTGCCAGGCACCGAGGTCAGGCTGACAGGTCTGTAGTTCCCAGGATCCTCCTTCCGGTCCTTCTTGTAGATGGGAGTAACACTGGCGATCCTCCAGTCATCTGGGACCTCCCCTGTTAGCCAGCACTGCTGACAGGGGATGGAGAGTGGCTCGGCCAGCTCCTCCGCCAGTTCCCTCAGCACTCTTGGGGGGATCCCACCCAGCCCCATAGACTTGTGAGTGTCCAGGTGGCAGAGCAGGTCGTTAACTGCTTCCTCCTGGATTATGGGAGGTCTGTTCTGCACTCCTTCCCTATCTTCCAGCACTGGGGGCTGACTATCCTGGGAATAACTAGTCTGATTATTGAAGACTGATGCAAAGAAGGCATTAAGTACCTCAGCCTTTTCCTCATCCTTGTTGACAATATTCCCCCTTGCATCCAGTAAGGGATGGAGACTCTCATTGGCCCTGTTTTTGTTGTTGATGTAATTCTAAAATCATTTATTGTAGTCCCTTACAACAGTGGCCAGCCTGAGTTCTAGCTGGGCTTTTGCCTTTCTGATTTCCTCTCTGCATGACCTAACGAGAGCCCTGTATACCTCTTGAGTTGCCTGCCCTTTCTTCCATAGCTGGTAGACCCTCCTTCTTTTCCTAAGTCCCAGCAAGAGCTCCCTGTTCAGCCAGGCCGCTCGTCTTCCCCGCCGGTTCATCTGGCAGCACATGGGGACAGCCTGCTCCTGTGCCTTGAAGACTTCCTCCTTGAAGGACATCCAGCCTGCCTGGACCCCTTTGCCCTTCAGCACTCTCTCCCAAGGGACCCTCTCAACCAGCGTCCTGAACAGGCCAAAGTCTGCCCTTCGAAAGTCCGTGGTGGTTTTGCTGCCCCCCTCTCAACTTCACCTCGAACCAAGAAATCCATCATTTCACGGTCACTAGGCCCAAGACGGCCTCCGACCATCACCTCTCCCACCAGTCCTTCTCTGTTAGTAAACAGCAGGTCTAGCGAGGCAGCTCCGCTGCTAGGCTCACTTACCAGCTGCGTCAGGAAGTTCTCTTCCACACACTCCAGGAACTTCCTAGCCTGTTTCCTCTCTGCTGTGTTGTATTTCCAGCAGATGTCCAGTAAGTTAAAGTCCCCCACGAGAACAAGGGCTAGAGATTGTGAGACTTCTGCCAGCCTCTTACAGAAAACTTCATCTGCCTCTTCACCCTGGTTGGGTGGCTTATAACAGACCCCCAGCAGGATGTCTGCCTTGCTGGCTTTCCCCCTCACCTTTACCCACAAGCATTCAACCTTATCACAATCATTGAGCTCTATACAGTTGAAGGAGTCCCTAACATACAGCAGAGCAACATCCTTGTGGAGCCGCCTCCTGCTGCCTTGGCCTCAGCGATGGCAGGGTGCAGGTCCACCAGTGGATCTCCCTCTCACATTCCCTAATGTTCCTTAACCTCTCCACTTGCTCCTTCAGCTCTGCCACCAGGCTGAGCAGATCATTCACCTGGTCGCACCAAACACAGCTGTTGTCTCTGCTGTCCTCCGGTACGAGCGCCAGGCTCAGGCACTCCCTGCAGCCAGAGACCTGGACAGCTGTGTGTTTGTGCAGGACCTCCGTCTGGGTCCCCACGCTCCTTCTGGCAAAAGCTTTCCTGCAGGTGGAAACCATAGCTAGAATGTCTCCTGGGAGGGCAATGTCCACTAGTTGGGTTGCCAGGAGGGGACCTGCGCCCTGCCCGCTCGCCTGCCCTGCCCGCCCTGCCTGTGTGAACTGCCACGCAAACTGCTGCGTCGCACCCTGTTTGCCAGCGCTCCTCGTCGCTGTCCCTCCCCTGGGTCTGCTCTTCTATGTGAGGGGGTTTGGCCGCTGTCACACTCATTCTCACCCACGCTAAGTCAGAGCTGCAGCTCCCTCTTTCCCACTCTGTGGGGGGCCTGTGGTCTCCTCTCTCTCTCAGCGCTTTTGCTGCCTTGCCGCTGCGGTTTTGCCACTTCAGGAACGGTCCCTCGGCGCGACCCTCTGCTCCAGAGCACGCTGGGGCGCCAAATTAATGTTTGGGTTCGGGCTGCCACCGGCAACAAAAGCGCCACGCGGCCGCCCCTCCCCCCACTGGCGTGCGGAGGAGAATGGAAAGAAAGAGGCAGAAACTGGTGGGTCGGGATAAGGGCAGTTTAACAGAACAGCAAACAAAGGGAACAGCAACAACAACGATACAGATAAGGAGAAAATACCACACAAACTCGCACAACAGACCCGCTCTCCTGAACAGGACCGGCACCACGCGCTCCCAAGCCACGAGTGAGTTCCCATCGTGCCGCCCCCCCCACCGGAACCCAGCGTGATGGCACATGGTATGGAATACCGGGCTCTGTTTGGCCAGGTTGGGGCTGGGTCAGCCCACCCGGTTGTGCCCCTTCCTGGATTCTGGTGAAAATTAACCCTGTCCTGGCCGAACCCAGGACAATCATGAGTCCTTCCAACTCCCGTAACTCTTTTCATTCAGCCAGCGGACTTCCCTTTTTTAACTGCAAAGAATTATAGGTCCAGTGTCTGGTTCTCATGTGTTGTTGTTCTGCCCGTGCTGGGAGACGTCTTGTGACTGTTGGCCGGGGCAGGGTTTGTTTGACCCTTATGGTAGCGGGGTTGAAGCAACTGATAACTTTCTACACCTCTGTTTTGTTTTTTTTTCCCTCCCCGAGATTTGCCAAAGGCCTGGCTGGAGCAGTTCTTTCCCTGAACTGGCCTGTGGAAGCCATTAGCATGGGAGACTATGACCCAGGTGGCTGTTTAGCAGAGGAGGGAGGTACCTCATCAATGTCAATAATAAAGACAAGCTTTTGCTGGGGTTGTGAAGGCTGTTTTCTCCTTGCTTGCACGTCTCTCTTGTTACGCTGGAAACCCCCAAAGCTGTGTGTTGAAAATTGCTTCCCTTCTACTTAAGCAAGCCTGGCCCATCAACCCTGAGCAGAAAATACCTGAATGTTGTAACTTACTAGGCGAGGATCAGGTAGGATGTGTTGATGCTGGCAGTGGCTTTGTATCAGCCAGTTCTGTACCTGGGGTGAGAGTGGCCGCACCACGACCCCCTGCTCTGTCTCTGCCAGCGTGCACCTGGGGAAGGGTTCAAAACTAGCACAAGCAGACGGTGATACTTCCAGTTCTGGTTTACTCCCATGTCTCTCTTAGGTGGGGGGGGACGGGATGGGAGGGGGGACAGCTTGACCTCCCTTGGCTAGTTTGAGATGGTTTTGCCGGGCGGATGGCTGTTCCCCACCGTTGGGATTATCACCTGCAGCATCCCCCACCAAAGGTTCTTAACCCACTAAGCAAAAATCTTGTCTTTGGACTTCTTGCGACTGTCCGTGTGTTACAGCTCTCTTCCTGCTGTCCAGTGTTCCGAAGCGCAGCTGTGCAGCGATTGTGCTGCCCTCTGAAATGGGAGAGGAGCACCAGAAGCACTGCGTTAGCCTGGGAGGTACGGCGACACATTTGATAAATCCTTACTGAGTTATTTATTTCCTGGTGTGAAATATGACAATGTCTTAGCCCGGTAATTAGTTTCATCTTCATCAGTCAGAAGATGGGCGTGACTGGCGACCAGGCTGTTACGTCTGCAGAGCTGGGGCCGCAGGACATGCGCTGAGCACGTGGCTGTTCTGAGCAACAAGCGTCACACAAAGGCGCTTGTGGCCAGGGCTCATCTCTTACCCCATCGGTGCGACAGCAGAGGGGTTTTCAAATGGGAGCCTGAGGGGGTGAGGGTGCTCAGCCTGCCTTGCGTCTGTGCTCTGCGTCAGCAGGTGAGAGGGAGCCCCGAAGCCCCTGCCTCGCAGTCCTGTGCAGCTCACGAGCTCTGCTTCCAGGCTTGGCCCTTGCTTTCGTAGTTGCCTGCTTTGTTTACGTCGGGCTTTCTTTAATTTCCCTCTCACCTTTGTCCTGTCCTAGGTGGGAAGAAACATTGCCAGGTGGCTGTGGGTGCTCAGTCCCAGCCGTATCGTGGCTCGTGCCGAGGGGGACTGCAACGTGGCCTAGAGCACGCCTGGCAGCATTGAGGCTGACTTTGAAGCCTGGAAAGCCAAGTGCCTCGGTCGGCTGCAGGCCCTCTGCAGAGAGGCAAAGAAGCCCTGCAGTGGGAAGTGCAAGAAAGGGAAGTGCAAATCTGCGGGGAAGCAGAGCAAGGAAAGCTCCAACCATGAGCACGGGGCAGCAGAATACGAGAATACTGAGGCCGAGCCAAAATCCCTGGGGCCTTATTTCTGGCTTAGTGCCCCTTGGAGCACTCTTTGACTCATCTCCTTCCTCCTCCATCCCAGAGGGGGCTGTGGGAGCTTGAGAATTCTTTGCTGTGGAGCAGAGGGGTGAGAGGGATGAGATCCCGTGGCAGATAACAAGCAGAAGCAGCCATGCAAAAAGAAGGGCCAAAGCATTAGTGACGGACCGAGGCATTGACGTGCTGAGGGAGCCTTCGCTGTGAGCAGGGCGAGGTATCTGTTGTGGCAGGTGCTGCAGGGAGCCAGTCGGGGTTCTCATCAGAGTCTTTGCTCTGAGAGGCCCGGAGGATGCAGTTCTCCTGCGCTGCTGGGGAGGGGGACAACAGCCCTGTGGCCAGCCGCAGCCCCACCAGCACCCAGGGGAGACCCCTGACTCCAACCTTGCCTCGTCCGTGAGCCCTGCAGGCTTTGACACCATCAACCCGGGCTGTCTTCTTTAAAGCACAGCGTAGCACTGAATACAGTATTTCATTTGGAAGGGACCTAGAACGATCATCCAGTCCGACTGCTTGACCCCTTCAGGGCTGCCCAAAAGTTAGAGCATGTTATTAAGAGCACTGTGCAAAGGCCTCTTGAGCAGTGACAGGGAGGGGACATTGACCATCTCTCTAGGAAGCCTGTTCCAGTGTTTGAGCACCCTCTCGGTCAAGAAACGCTTCCTAACATCAAGTCTGAACCTCCCCTGATGCAGCTTTGAGCCATTCCTATGCATCCAGCCACAGGGTCCCAGGGAGAAGAGCTCAGCACCTCCCTCTCCACTTCCCCTCCTCAGGAAGCTGCAGAGAGCCGTCAGGTCTCCCCTCAGCCTCCTTCTCTCCAAACCAGACAAACCCGGAGTCCTCAGCTGCTCCTCCTAGGACACGTCCTCCAGCCCTTTCACCAGCTCTGTTGTCCTCCTCTGGACACATTTCATGCCATTGAAGGTTGCCCAATGCTCCAATCTCTCTAGATGTCTTTTCACCAGCTCTGTTGTCCTCCTCTGGACGCATTTCGTGCCATTGAAGGTTGCCCAATGCTCCAGTCTCTCTAGATGTCCCTGCAAGGCCTCTTGTCGGTCAGGAGCATCACCAGCACCTCCCAATTTGGGATCATCAGCAAACTTGCTACTGGTGCATCCACCTCCTGTTTCCTGACCTTATCCTTTGATCAAGGATCTCAGGTTAGTGAGGCAGGACTTTCCCTTTGTGAACCCCTGTTGACTGGGCCTGATGACCACGTTGTTCTTTCCGTGTCTGCCAACAGTGCCCAGAATGGTCTCTCCCCTTTTCTCCCCTTTTTCTTCAACAGGAAGAGCAGAATCATACTGAGAGTGGCATTTAAATCGAGCCCTGGGGAGCCACTGGTGACTGCCGCCAGCCTGATGTCACCCCATTTACTAAAACCCTTTGAGGCCGAGCCGTCAGCCAGTTGCTCACCCAACGTGTTGTGGACTTGTCTAGCCGTGTGCTGGGCAGTTTCTCCAGAAGGGCACTGGGAGAGACAGTTGAGCCCTGTTGATCTCCACTGGCCGTTTCTACCTGTCCTGCAGCCCCTGGTGCCTCTAGCACAGCTATCACGACAGTGACACAGCACTAAAACACCCTCACATTAACCCACCAACATTCAGGTCACTGGTAAAGAAGAAGGACAGAGGAAAAGACATGTTCTGTTCCGAAAGAAATCTCCCTTTTCCCTCCTGTAACTACCAGTGGATGAAAGACAAAGGAGAAAAACATTCAGGTCAGCCACAACACTTGGTTTCAACTTGGAGCTTGTCATTTTGTGGCTGTTGTGGAAGAGTTTGAAAAGTCAGTCTTCCAGACTGATTTCTGGTTTCTATTGACACCAAAATGCTGGTGCTTTACTCGTTCGCTGACGTTTTCCAAGCGGAATCTCCAGTTCTGCTTTCCTTGGTGCTTGCCGTACTGTGGCTGCCGCTTCCCCCACCTTCTCCAGGGAAGTTCCTCCATGGAGAACAACACCCAGGGGCTGGTACAGTTTCACCTCTTGGGGCAGGGAGACTGTCTGTCAAAGCTGAGCAAGTGCGGCAGGAGCAAATATGGGCGAAGGTTTGTGCCCCTGTGGGAGGCTCTTAAAGGGATATTGCATTCCCTCCCCAGTGACAGCAAACTTCTCTGGATCCTCCACCCGCAAGGGCACCATCAAGAGCATCCCCTTTACAGCCAGCGCCGGCCTCCACGGCTGTGCAGCTGCTTGCAAAGGAGCTGGGCAGTTGGCAGGGTTTGGTGCAGCCGCTGTTAGCGGGGCTGTGCCAGCATTCCGGTGCCGGTAATCAGTGATTAACCACCACCCCCCCCTGCTTTCCCAGCTGGCCAGGCAGGTGAGTTAGATGGGGGCTGGGTGCTGGAGATCATTTCTCCTTCCTCCTCATCAGCTGCGACTTCAGAATTTCCATTCTGTGCCGCAGCAGAAATGGGCTGTTGTGGCACGTCAGTCATTTCGGACTCGGGGAGTGCAGGGGCCGCGGGAAGTGCACGAGCTGCAGCCTCCCTATTTCTGCCAGGGTGGGGATGGATGTTTGAGCCAAAGGACCACACAGCGCTGTCTGGCAGATGCCAGGTTCATCCGTTTAAAGCACTGAAACCTCAACTATTTTCATTATGACCTTTCCAAGACCCAAGTAGTGCTGTAGCTGGGCAATAGATCCCCCATAGCTGTGGTCTCAGCAAAGGCACCAAGAGCATTTGGGGCAGCCAGCGAGTCTGCTGGGAGGCTTGGCAGAAACTGCCGCTCCTTCCCTGCAACGCTGATGTGACAAGTGATGTCAGCACGAAGCAGAGGGAGCGAGCAGAAAAGGCAGGGAAAGCTTGGTCTGAGGCTGGTGTGCCCCTGCGGACATGGGCGAGGTGCGAGTCTCCTGGGTGTCCAGGCAGGAGGGCAGGTCCCTGGCAGAAGGCCTCAGGGTGGGCTGTAGCGGGGGAAGGAGCGCCGTCCGTGTGCAGCGCTGGGGGACGAGTGCCTTCGTGGAGAAGGCACCGTGGGCTCCACGGCTGGATGTGCGTGAGCCAGCCGCAGGGCTGGGGATCCGTCGCCGAGCCCCGGGGCTGGTGCAGCACCCGCTGCGGCCCTGGGCCCCGCTGGGTCAGAGCTTCCCTCCCGGCCCCTGCCCGCAGCCCAAAGCGGAGGCCTGAAGCTTGCTGCGAGTTTCGGGCTGGGAGTGCGAGTTGCACAAGGTGTGTGCAGGGAGCAGGGCAGGGGAGAGGCCCGGCGGGTCCACAGCCAGGTCAGACAGCCCCAGGCCAGGGGCTCCACCTCAGAGCCGGCTCTCCCATTCCAGGCAGGCTCTGCCCTTCCGCTGCCACGCACGGCCACGAAGACGCCCACCCTGAGGTACCTGGACGGGTCTCAGGCCCTGCCCCACGTTTCCCCAGAGCTGCCTGCCACGCGTGCCAGCCCACGGGGGTCCCTGAGCTGTCTGGGCGGCAGAGGTGCCAGGAAGGTGTTGGCCCCACGGGATCAAGGGGCAGAAAGCCAGCCTGCCCCCAGCTGTGCTCTGGCCGGGAAAGCTGTCGCCAGCGCAGCCCATCCCCAGCTCTGCGGGGAGAGCAGCTGGGCGAGGGGCAGGGGCACAAGGCGTGGGGCTGGGGCTGCCTCCAAAGGCAGCTCAGCACCCCTCAGGGTTTGCCCCCTGCGCATCGCGGGTGGCAGATGGGATCTAGGAGCCCCCATTCCAGCTTCACCACAGGCGTGGGAGGAATGAAAAAGATCAGCTCTATTAAACGTGTTGGAACCAGGGTACAAGAGGGTGGTGTGGGGCATGCGGAGAACAATGGGGTGGTTTGGGGCATCCAAGAGTACAACAGGGGGTCTGGAGCATGCAAAGGGCAACGGGGTGGTCTGGGGCATATAGAGAGCAAGGGGGGAGGGGGGTCTGGGGCATGCGAAGGGCAACGGGGTGGGCTGGGGCACCCAGAGGTCCTCTGAAGCAGAGGCTACTGCTTCTTCTTTCTCTTCATCCTCTTAATCAGCTGCAGCCCCTGCCTCTTGATGCCTTCCCACATGGGGACCAGGCCATCATCTTTCTCCCCAAAGTCAAAGGGGTCTGGAGAAGAGAAGAGAGGGGAACAGGCTGAGGAGAGGCTGTGGGGCCACCTCCGGGAGAAAAGGGAGAGCTGGCACATTTTGGAAGGCCGGTGGCATCACGGTGAGCCCTTGAGAGCCAGGGTCAGCCCCAAGGTTTGGAGACAACGCAGGGCTTGGGCTCTGCTGGGACAGTGTGAGACAGGCAAGGACGCCCAGAAATGCCAGCGAGCAGGGGCTGGGACAGTGCCTGTGGGACGTGTCCCCACTGTGCTCTCCTACCTTGCATGCTACTGCCTGTGTCCTCCAAGATAACCCTCAGGTTCTGTGGATGGTTCGCAATTGATTTCTCCAGGTACAGTCTCACCTTGACGAAAGTCTGTGAAAGACACCCCTGGTTAATTGCTGAAGGGGAGGTGGGTGTTGGAAGCCAAGCGGTGCCGCACCTCCATGTCCCCTGCAGTGCCCAGGGCCAGCCGGGGCTGAGCTGCTCCATGGCTCTTCCTTGGGGCCACCTCCACCCTCTCAGCTGGGAGGACGGCTTGGGATGGGCCATCCGTGGGTCCCCAAAGGCCACAGCAGGGATGGAGCCCCACGCACCTCGTTGTCCTCATCGAGGCTCTGCATGTCAGGGAGCAAGCTGGCCACGCGCTGCACCAGGTACCGCAGCTTCTGCTGACAGAGCTGGATCTTCTCCTGCACCCCGCTGGCCTTGGCAGAATCGTCCTGGAGCCGGAGAGGAAAGAACAGCCTCGGTGGGGAGAATGAGCAACTCGGGGGGGATGGAGGCTGCACCAAGGGTCACCGTGCCGTGCCGTTGCACCACCAAGCCCGGGCTGGGGCTGTGCTCACCCCAGGGCCGCACACGTACCTGGCCAGGCACGGGGATGCCGTGCAGACGGGCGACAAGGTGGTCCAGGGCGTCCTCAAACTCGAGCAGGAGCTCCTGGCTCTTCTTCACCTGGGCTCACATTTGATGCAGCCGAGCCACCTCCTGCTCCAGCTTCCTCCGCAGCTCCTCCTCCAGCAGCCTGGAGCCAAGCCCAGTCACATCCCTGCAACCGCACAGGGCTGCAGAGCCCCCCAGGCTGTTGCAAAAGCCACTCAGCTTGCCCCCCGCCACTGCCTGCAGAGCAGAGGTGCTGCCTGCAGCCCAGCTCCATGCTGGGACCGCTGCCCATGCCAAGCAAAGAGCAAGGGCCCTCCTGCGAAAACTGGCAGCTACAGGGGGACAGAGGCACGAGGGCCCTCTTGGCCCACTCATGATGCACATGTGTCCCCCCCAAGGGTGGTGGCCCGCTGGACACGGCTGTCACAAAGCCAACAGCACCTGGTGGTGTTGGGGGGCTGGCGAAATTTCAGCTCAGCCCGCTTCAGCTCCAGCGTCACCTACAGTGTCTGCTCCTTCTCCATGCACTGATGGAGGAACTGATCCTGCTCCAGTGAGGACTTCTGCTGCGCCAGGAGCCTGCCGGGGATGTCCTGCCCAGGGGAGAGCACGTGGACTCAGCTCGTGGCCCTGCTGCAGGATGCAGGCTGTGGCCTCAGGGACGTTTCTGCACCATGGACCTCTGCAGGCCGACGGCCTGGAGAAAAGCAGCTCCATCCCTGCCCTGGGTTTTACCAGAGGAAGGTTCTTCCCTTACCCAGAGGCAGGAGCACTGTGCCGCAGCCTTGGCCTTCTCCATCTTCTCCATCACCATGGCCTCATGCTCCTGCTGGGACTTGGCGGCCTCCAGTTTGGCGCCTGGGGTGGGAGGGAAGCGGCAGG